AGAAGGCTTTGATATCAACCATGTTCTAAGGTGTTTTGCTCTGCAGGTGACAAAACATTCTACTCTATTTCATGCATTACTGTAACTATGTGTATGTTTTCCTCACTGACACCAGAAATTATATTATTTACAAAACTTTCAAAAAATAAAATGCTTCATACAGATGCCTGGTAAGCTATTTTAAAAACTCCAATGTACTCTAAAACACAGAAGGTGGCAAATGCCAAAAGAATGTATATGCACAGGGGAAAAAACCGTGTTATAATGCTAACACTCAGGTCACGAGTGACTTCTGCAATTACAAGAGATACATGATACAATATCTAACACGACAAATGTGATTGGTACATAGTAAGTCTTAAAGTTTTAATACAGGTTTTTTCCTTTCTTAAAATATGTTTACATTTTGGGGGGACCCTCTGTAGTTTTGTATGCCTACATACAAAACAACACATACTCTTGAGTCCTTGACCCTAAATCTTTCATTTTGCCATGAGAAACATCACAAGGTGTCTCAAAATAATGACTTCTCAAACTGGCTATGAAACAGGGACACTACCTCAGGCTGAAAGAGGTATAGTGGAAAAGAGAACAATATATTAATGCTGAAAGATAAATTTTATGGAGATCTCTATTTTAAATATTTAATGGGTATCAATAGAATTTTCTTAACCATAGAGATGTACATTATAAATTCGCAAATGGGACAAGCCCCTATATCCCAGAATGCACAGATGTGTCCTGCATTGGTGGGTGGGGAGGGCAGTGGGCTGGACAGCTACCCTGGGACTGTCACAGAAAGGAACAACATCCAGGTAGAGGACACATGTGATAGAAGTTTGAGCCCCAGAAGAATGGAGTTGACTGGGAAGGGATAAAATGGAGGAAGGGAGTCCACCAAAGGTAATCAATCCAAAGCCAAAAATCCAGCCTTTACCAAATTCCGTCAAAGGCCAAAGGAAATGAAAGTAATCTTTGAGTGGATCGTATTAAGAGGCCACTAAAAGCGCCCAGGAATGGAGGGAGGAAAGTAAGAAGAACCATAATCCCACAGACAAGACAGAACGGAAGGTGACTAAAGAGGTCAAATGCCACTACCGGAGAGAATATTCCGATCTGGAACCTAAAGTCTGCTTAAAGTGAATTAGATAAAGTTAATTATGTATGTGCACAAAAGGTAGGACTAATTATTTTAATCTCATGCCCTAGGGTGAATTAGGGTAGATAAAGTAAGAAAAGGATATAGTTGTAAAAAGAATAAGAGACATTGTTCTGGTGAAATGGTCACCTCCATTCTTCCTTCGAATGCTGGTTAAGAAAATATCACTATATACCCCGGTAAAGCCAGAGTGCTCCCCACTCTCTGTCTAATATGTGCATATAGCCATAAAAAGTAAAATAGGTTAGTTTCACAATGTCTTAAGGGCATGACTTGTCAGTAAGATGCATTATTTAGATGACTAAATTGAGAGATGGAGACACATAGCTGCTTTATTTGTACTGGCCCTAGCAGCTGGGCATTTAAGGACAGTTTTATAGTCGGCTTCTCTCCCCAATGTCCTCACTTCCTGATCTGGTCCTGCTGTCCACAGTCACAACCTTGTCGCCAGCCTCTGTGTATCCTCTGGTTCTTTCTGCTTTATGCCTTCCAGGCCAACAGGGCTTTCTTTCTCCACTGGCTTCTTCGGTTTCCCATTTCAGAGGCCCTGCACACCTCCTTTGAGGATGGTCCTGTGCAGCTCTCCTGGTCACCCAGGTGAGTTATGATGGTGTTGCCTACAATCTCTCTGAGGACCGTAAACTGCACTAGGGCAGGTGGATGCCCACCTTGTTTCCCTCCCCATCATCAATGCCTAGCCCTGTACAAGAACAACGTAGCCCCCAGAAAAAGTATTCACCAAATGAATAAATGAGTGATGAATAACTGAATGAGATTAGAATTTAAAAACATTGTCCCAGTTCCTCACAATTTGAAAGTTGTACATTAATTCTATACTGGTAAAGTCCTGAGATACCCTAAAGTCCCTTTGGGGACTCTATGAATTGAGTTTGCGACAATGATTTGGCCTGACTTGCAGGTAAGTCTTCTAAATGATTGCAAAAATGGCTTGGGCAACCATGTGAAGCGTATAGAGGCTGGACCACAGATCTATGGGCATAGCACAGTTAAATATGGTCTTGATTCCCCACCGTCCTGCCTCTCGGGAGAAGTTGACTCTGGGAAGCCCTTGATAATCAGCACATCTACTTTTCCACACACCAGATAGCGATGCACAGTGAGAGAATCGTTTCTCCATCTCTATGGAGACTCTATTGATTCTGTAGCTTGAAATCCTACTGGTTCTGCAGTTTGGGAGGAAGCTAAGTGCTACCCAAATACCACATGTTCCATATGGCAGTGTTATCACTGTGCTCACTCCGTTACATGCGGCCCTTCTACCTACACTCAGGAGGTGCCGCATCTCGGAGTCTAGCGGAAGGAACATTATGAACTCGTTTCCTCACCTGTATTTGCTGAAATGTTTATTGCCTCCTCTCCTTCCATGAACTTGTTAATGTTGCCGAAATAACATATATATGTGTTTATAAAATATATAATGTTACTGAAATAACATATATACGTGTAATAAAATACAAGTTTTATTTTCTTATTCATCCCCATCATCTCTTAGAGGGGGATAATCTATGACCCATTAAAGAGGAATTCTTCAACTAAAATGTCTTAATGAGGAATTCAGACGTTCTTCCTTTACTGAGAAACACTGCGTTGCTGAAATTAGACTGGAGATTAGGGCTAAACAAACACAGCACACACACCCACCCACCCACCCACCCACACATACACCCACACCCACACCCACACACACACACACCCACACCCCCCCCACACACACACACGCTAGGGGCAGACAGCCATGGAAAAGGACTGCCTGAAGTCATAGAAGTCACCCTGTGCTTGTCTCCTTAAAGGCAAGTAATTCTGTGACCCCTTTTTCCTTTTAATTTTCAACCTTGTAACACAGACAAAGGGTGGAGAGACTCACAACCCTACAAATTTCCCTTTTGTGTTTTTTTAGGAGAAAGCATACATTGACAAAGAGCTGGTGGGGGGCCCTTAATCTACCTTCTTTCATTAATTTAGTGAAATGAAGCTTATTTAGTAAAGATGGAAAGAGATGAGCCAAGTAGGGCAGCTCACATATGGTGCCAGACGGTTAGTAGCTCACAAGAGGCCAGGAAGCTTGCCTGGCCCAAGGCACTTGCGGTGCCACAGGAACAAGGCGGGCTGGGTGGGAATGAGGCTCTGCTTTCACACAGCGGCAGCTCCAAGGGAGCCCCTGGCCAGGTGAGAGAGACAGCAAAGATTTCAAAGTGTCTGACTTGAAGACTTTAATCAGTCTCTTCAGGACCGGGATTACTCCATTAATTCAAATTAAAGCCATTCAGATGTACATTAAACTCTTATTTTTTTAGATACCAGAGGAAGATGAAAAGAAGGAAGAAGAAGGGAAAAATAATTTTACAAGATTAAAAGTATTTTGACAGTTCAGTGTTCTACCTTACATTTGTTTACTTCTATCAGGATCATTTTCTTATATGATTACATACTCTTTTGAAATAGTTTTTAATAACTTGAAGCATTTCATACACATTTACTTGAAATAACACCCCATGAGATGGGTACTATTATTAACTAAATCTTACAAATGGAGACATCAAGATGGAAAGGAGCTTGCCCAATGTCACACTTTGAGAGCTGGAATTTGAGCCCAGGCAGTCTGAAGCTTGCAGTCTTCTCTACTGTGATCCACAGATTCTGTATCATATGGTGCTACCGTAATTATATTTAATCGTGTTCCCAATATTGGACATACGTGCATACATATATATGCACATACGTATTTTTAACTAATGAGCAGTATAACTTCAGATTCGTGTTTAATGACGTTTTTATTAAATGCCTCTTTATTCTTTTTAAGAAATTAAAAGCTAGGTTTTCCACTGAAAAATCATTGCTATCTAGTGATTTCATAGTTGTCTAAAAATACTTCACCAAAAAGGAAAGAACTTAAAATTTCCTACTGTTTGATTTAATATTATTTCCCAAATGTCAAAATCTGGTAAGTTTTACGCATGCTACTGTCTACAAGAGGAAGGCTCTTCAGAACAGTATAATTTACAAATAAATGACCCGACCCCAAAACAAAACCAAAACCCACAGAAACATCATTTTGCATAATCAATTGGCAAAAACTCTTTCTGTTTTCTGAATTCCCAGCATTGGAAAATTGTGTAAAAGTAGATATCCTCTCATACACTGCCTCTGGAAATATAAGTTGGCAGGACTGTATTGGAAAGTAATTTGGTAATAAGTTATCCAAAAATCTTAAAGCTTGAAAACTCTCAGGTGTTCTCTGTTAAGGGATCATCCTACAGAAGCCATTACCAACGGAAACTCATGCAGAGAGTGGTAAGAACATTTTTGGCAGCATAAAAGCAAAGAGGTCAGAAAAGGACCCAATGCCCAACTAGTAGAGATCAACTTAATAAATTTTAGGATGGCTATCCAATGATATACTAGATAATCCTTAAAAATTGTGTTGTAGAAATATATCTATTGTTATGAAAAATGTTGATTAGTAGATTGTTCGAAGGAACAACAGTTTAGACGACAGTAGGTATGTGATGTTTTCCACTACCATCTCTCTGATGGTCATCTCTTCAGCTAAATTTATGAATGTTGCCTTCCGAATTATCCTTCTTTTATTAATGCCTGGTCATTTATTCTAATTAGTAATCTCAAAATAAGTGGAAGTTATTTTCTTTCCCGCAAAAAAAGCAAAGGTTCCACTTTCATAAAGGAGACAGGAAAAATAAATAGACATGAAGTGTGTGACCATTACACATAAGTGTTTATGTTGTGTGTCCATATGTGTGTGAACAGACAGGTATCTCTGAATGATAATTATTTGGGGTGAAAGATTTTTGTAGATATTTACCGGTAGCATGTGCTTTCATCACAATGGAGAACCATAAGCTGTCAGCTCCTTCCACTGGGTCTTTTCTCACAGATTTTGCTTGAGTAGAAAGGGTGGCAGTGGAGAATTTCAATATAAGATGCCTAGACCTGTAATTACAAAGACTGGAGTTAGGCAGCTTCTGTCTTAGGCCTCCATTCACACTAGCTGAAGTCACATAAAAGAGAAACATCAGATTGCATAATCTCTGTCTCTCACACATAAATTCACACACAGAGTTCTTAAATCAGAATGTCAAAAACGTCAAGCACAGACACAGTAACAAGACAGCAGTCCTCACCCCTGGGGGTGAGCAGGCTCTGGCTGGGGCTGCTTCCCACCCTACCTCCTGAACTCAGGGGCATCAACCATCAAAATGATCCTGTTCCTACCGCTCCTTCTCTACCTCATAATTCCAAAGTTTCGAAAAAATAAAAAGTAATTAGTTCTTCTCCAAAAAATGTCAGGAACATTGCTAAGTTCCATGCTAAGATTCCTTCTAGCCACAAAGTTATGCAAATTCAGTACATATATTTATGTTCTGGCCTGACTTTCACTTTCTAAACTGTACATGCCTCTCTATTAGGGACTCCGATAAGGCACGATACCAGTAATATCCCAAATCATCAATAGCATTGCTGAAACATTTGCTATGTCCCGAGTACCATGCTGAGTGCTTTACACACATAACCCCAGTTCACTGCACCCTGTGAGGTGGCTAGTAATCATTACTACCTCTTTACCATTGACAAGAAAACTGAGTACACATAGCTGGCAGATGGTCAAGCCAGTTTTTAAGCCAAGAATTTACAGAGGCCATGCTGATACTTCCAGTACGACTATACAATCTCTCCAAAATTCATCTTGCTAACAACACCTCTGTACTTATTATAACAAAGCTACATACCAAATCAACATTATCTCATTTCCCCCAGTGTTGATAAATCCCCTAATAATTCCTAATATTACTCTTTTTAGATTTTACTGCCCTTTGATTTTAATTGTCAAGCTTCTCTGAAACTATCATGTCCATATCTCAGTTGAAGATACATTGATAGTTGTTTTAAAAATGCCAGGTAATCCCAAATTCAGATGTCAAAATACTAAGTAAAAACCTAAAATCCACATTCTGCCTAAGTGGCTAAATGCTATTAGGAAGAAGGCAGAAAATAAAGCCAAAAAGCTATGGGTGAATCCCTAAATAAAGATGTGTTAAATAAAGAAAGGGATTTCTATACATAATATAGGTATGATTTAAAAACTACTTGAAAAGGTTGACCTATTTACAAATAGGTTAAACCTACTATAGCTCTTAGAATCACTGCAACACCAAATAGAAAGAGGCATATCAGGAAATCAACAAAATTACTTATCGGTCCCATTATAACTCCCCTCTGGGGTGTGTGTGTGTGTGTGTGTGTGTGTGTGAACATGTGCTCATTTGCACTAGCCTGGTTATGCCTCTGCCTTTGCACGTGACACCCCCTTTAACATGCCTTTCCTTCTCTTCACCATCTAAAACGTGTCTACTTATTCTTCAAGACCTACTTCTTAAGCTTCCATTCTTTTGTGATGTTTTCTTCACCTCTCCCCTAAGGTTTTCTGGAAATCCAAAGTGCATTCTACCCTACCCCCTCCTATGTTCCCTATGTCAGCATTGGCTCCAACATCATCCTTAAGTCTTCCTCTTCCAAACTATGCCCCATATTCTTCCATCCAGCAAACTCATAACACCCTCTGTTTCTTCCTTAGACCATCAGGGACCATCTGGCCTCCTAACTGGTCTCCCCACATCCACCCTGCCACTGTAAGGCCCCATCCTCAGCTCCTCCCTAAGGCACTGCAGTGGCTTCCCATTGAGCTTAGATTCCTAACATGGCCCTACTGTGCTCTGCTGGGCCTTAGGCCAGTGGTTCTCAATCTTCCTAATGCCTTGCCCCCTTAATATAGTTCCTGTAGGTCCCCGACCCACAGGTTGAGAACCGCTGGCCTTAGGCCTTTTGCACTTGATTTCTTCCTTACTAAGACTTCTTCCCAAATCACCTCTTCTATCAAGAGACCTTCACTTCTTTTCTCCTTGAGCTCTGAGCTCAGTCCTCTTCTTTGCAAGGAGCCTTTCTTGACCTCTTGGCCAGGTCAGTACCTCCTACAACATGCTTTTATAGAATCACTCTCCCATTGAGCTGATTTGTTAATTAATGCCTGTTTCTTTCACTAATTAGTAAGCTCTGGGAAGGCAGAACTGTGTTCTTATTTTATCCTCAGTATTCAATGCAGTGATCTGCACATTTTAGGCACAATAAAAATCTGACAAAAATGAGCTGACTGGATTAACAGATAAAAGAAGAAGAGAAGGAGGAAGGGAGGAAGAATGGGAGGACACATTCCTTATCCATGTTAATTTAATCAGCATTTGTTGAATTAATTTGTGCATGATCTTCCAATACGCAGAGTATAATACGCATATTCCTTTGAAGAATGTGCAAGAGTCCCCATGATCTGACTCAGCAGCAGGGTCTTTCCTCCAGATTTGACCCTCTGTTCCCCAAGTCCCTGTGGCTCATTCACCTACTCTGCTCTCCTACTCATCTCCTCCCACCATCTCTTCTTTTCCCGTCAAACATCATGTTTCCAAATTCACTCAAGTCTTCAAATCTCAGGGCAGGGAGTGCTTTTCTATGAAGACCTCCTGATGCCTTCTGGGAAGGCAGAGCCCCCTTCTCCCATTTTCCTGTAACACCTTGTCCCTATCCTTCGGAAGGCAATTACCTTATCTTCTTATACTTGTTTCTTAAGTAAATCCACCTTTCCCATCATAACCTAAGTCGTTAAAAGCAAGGAAGAGGTATTCCCTCATCAGAGTATGTCCAGAGTGTAGCACAGCAGCCTGGTACATAAATTGTCAATAAGTAAATATAGGTCGATTGAATAAAACAGAAATGTGTACACATACACACCCATACATACACTTGTATATCCTATCACACACGCCCATTGCATATGTGCAAAACCTCCAGAGTTAGAATTCTGAAATATATATTAATATGGTATATTATTAATAATAATATGTTCTAATTCCTAATGGTTATACATTCATCAGCAAAACGGGCTAAAACACCTAGCCCTCAGGGGGGTAATCAGAATTAAGTAAGGTACATAAGCTCTTTGGCATACAGCTCAAAGTCATGGAAAACACTCCACAAATATTAACTATAAAATCATTATTATTATTAGAGAAACTAAGTTGAATTTATAATTTGTGGTTCAAATGTAACAGTTTTATTTGCCAACATTTTTCCGATTAAAATATTAATTAGCATTAGCATCTCTGTAAAGACATAATGATGGCTAGAGAGCCAATCAGAAAACTAAGGAAAAAGGACAGTCTTACTACAGCTGCAGGACAAATTATTATTTGTCAATATACAAGTGGAGGGACAAAAGCATCACTAGAGAAGAGAATTTCTGTACAAAAATTATCTATGAAATCTAAATGGCAGAAACAACAAATATTGCTATTTAGGTGCTATAAACATTTAGCTAAAATAATTATACATACTGCAAATTATTTCTTTGCTAAAAAAACAAGCTAGAAATACATATTCATCCATTTCTTTTAATTATCGGACAAAGTAATGCGACTTTATAAATAAATACTAAGGATTTGACTAATGAATATGCCATAAATGTTTGAACTAATGGCAAACACATTTCATATGTGGTCTATCAGATGCTGTTCTAATTTAGAATTGCTGAAATTTAATGAAATCGACTATGCAAGCAGGAAAAAAAGGTGCAAGAATATTTTAAAAAAATAGGACTGAATTGTTCATAAATGCTCCCAGTATTTCTCCCAAATTAAGCAGAATGAACTGGCAACAATTTATTCCACGAAGCAAACTTGTAATTCTGCCCTTTATTGCTCTTTCCCTTGAATACTGGCCAAATTTAAATATTGTATAATGAAGTGTTTCATATACTGGGTACTACTGAAATATAAAGTACTATCATTAGTGCATTTTGAGAATTCTATTTTCAATTACCCTTGATCTCTGATAAATGATAAAACCCAAAATCAATCAGATTTCTGATGGGGGCTCATCCTTTTTCTCAACGGTACTAGAGTTACTGGAGAAAGTATTACAGAAAAACTAAGTTCATGACTTCTTGTTTTACGATGAAATATTAAACTCCTTTTAAATTGAATTATAATACTATTCACTGGCCAGAGCTATTGACCAGATTAACATAATGTAAATATATCGCTATTTTGGAACATCATTAAAATAAGATGGCAAAGTAGAACAGACAAAGCCAAAAGAGTCTTAATTAGACTATTTTTATTTGAATTCATTACTAATTTGATTATGATGATGCTTGCCCTTATGTCATAAATCTGGTGAAATCTTAGCTATATAAGGCAAAATCCATCTTTTCTTAACGCTGGTCTCTCCATCAGAGATGTCCTCACTCATTCAAGCATTCCTCTTCCTTTCAGACTCAGTCCAGTTGTCACTTTTTTTGTGACCTGCTCCCATATATAACTATTTTTCCTACCATGCCATGCCCTGTCTCCCTCTCTAGACTGTGTGCTTCTTAGGGGACTTGACCAGGTCCCCACATTGTTCATAACCACCTGCACAGTTCTCTGCACATAATATATTCTCAGTAAATACTGGTTCAATGTGGCAGTAAATACACATTTTCTGAGACTCTTAAGACTATGGTGAAAAGGCCACTAACTGTGACTTAAAGGTTAAAGTTTAAAAAAAAGTTCCATTTTTTAGTGAAATGAAATTCTTAGCATTTTCACTTCCAGATGCATCAGCATTACATAAAAGATGTTGAAACTGTTTTAAAAAAGAGACACGCTGCACATTTTCCTGTCTGAGAATTAGTCTGAAAGTACCAAATTCCACAGGGGCCTCTGGGTGTTCTCAAGACAAGCGTTCAGTTATGTATTGATCCCATGCACTCATTTAATGGAAATCTAGAGTAAGACTCAACCTCCGTAATACCAGCATGTCACACATTATTCCACCCAGCTGCTTAAGAATAGCGGCCGATTCCCAAGAGAGGTCTGCCCTCCTCTCCCAATACTGTGGGGCAC